CTTTGAGGGGGAAAAGAAATCTCATTAGTGCATTGCATACAATAAATTTTTTATTAATATTGTTGTGCTGATTTGCAGGAAGAGAGAGGAGGGTTGGGAGGAGGGGATTGCTCTGGAAAAGTAAGATGTTAAAGAGGCAAAAATAAACATTTCCTGATTTTCTAACAACACTGTCCCAACCATGTAGATGGCAGTGGAAACAACTGTTCCTAAGGGCACAACCGCATGCCTGTTTACCATGCAGACTGAAGGGAGCCACTTCAGAGGACTGCTTTCTTTACAAGTTAATTCGGGGGGGAGGGGGGAAGCTTAAAAACTAGAATTAAACATCTTTATCTTAACAATTATGGAATTATTCATTTCAGACATAAACTTGCTAGCCCTGCAAACAGCATCTTAAAACAAAAAAACATGCTATATCAAGGAAATTAGGGTCTAAATGCTCCTCATCTAGATATGGCTAAAAAGTGGATGTAGCACTTCACAGCACTATTTTTAAAATTACTTATTACTATTTTTTAGTTGCATTAAGTTTCCCAAATATAAGAACAGCCCCAGCCATACTTCTTAGCAGACCCTGTTGGTTTTCCTCCACAGCTACCTCACTTCCTCCTGCCAGGAGAGTTTCCAGCTGTTCAGAGGTGAATCTGGATTAATCTAGGCAATCATAGTAATTGTATTTTCCTTTCCAGAGAGTGCCAGGAAGAAACACTTGATCCAGTCTTGGCCAATGAAATGCGAGAGGAAGTCTGTGGGGGAATTCTGGGAAGGTTTCCTTGCTCTTGCAAAGGGATGTACAAGAAGAAGGGCCTTCTCTTTCTTCTGCAGGTTTTTCTGTCTCCATGTGAAGCCTGGAATAACCACCAGCCTTAGGATTAAAGCCACACTTAAACAACAGAGGAGCCAAGAGAGTAGCAGAGAAACAGAGCTGTACCACATTGGAGCCTGACTCCTTGTAATATGAACAACATATCTCTTTATTGCTTCAGTCATTGTGAATTGAGTTTTCTACTCTTTGCCATCAAAACCATCATAACTGATCCAAGCCAAGTTCATACCCAAGTTAATAATTATCATTTGCTTCCTCTTCCAAATTTTCCACAGGTATCTTTATTTTTTGCAGTTAGTCATAATGTATACAAATTTTGTATCCATCTTTTCCCCCTTAACATTACCATAAGCATTTTTCCACTTCTTCTTAAAAAAAAAATCTTCACACTAGCAAAGAGTCAGATAATGCCCCAAAGTATTTTATATCCGCCTTAGCCTGAAAAGCAGACCAAGCTCGATATTTAAAATCCAGCCAGGAAATGTATCAAATCTGGTATTGCTAATGTTTTTCAGCACCTGCTACATAGAATCAAGATGCGGCATTTTTTAAAAAAGGGACAGCTTCCAGCCAACTTTTTAATTAACATTCACTTCAAACAACAGATGGACTTCAAAGAGTACAGCCTGTAAACAATAGTACTCGTCCCGCAAGCCCAATATTGCTATTTGAATCAGGAGATTTGGGTGAGTAGGTGCATATGAACAGATTAGCATGACATGACAACAAGTCAGGTCTATGAATCATCTTTTCTGATAAAATCTTAATTATTAGAGCATTGTCATTTATTGTGCCTGTTTTACCCATCAGTCATCAGTACCTATGGTTGAGTTCCACTTGGCTGCTTGTAACAAAGAGGACTTGCTAGCACACATCAGGCCAGTTGCCCCATGTGCCATGCCAACCAGATGCTGGAAAGGTGATCTCCCTTCCCAGTAAGAAACCTCTAAATTATTGCAAGGTATTGTTGGGCAGAATCAGTTGCCTGTTAATTCATCCTGCAGAAATGTGAAAATAACCTGGCTCACGTTCAGTTAGTAATTATATTCTGGTGAACCAGGTTGTTACTATCCCACACTAGTCACATAAAAACCAGAGGTGCCATTTTCTAAAACCACACAAAAAGGCATGCCTTATGCTTGATCCTAAACCTAGCAGGATGAAGTCACAGAACGGCGGACTCAGTTAGTCGACAAGATCATCTATCACTGTACATTTTAGGTGGGTCCTGATGCCCTCCCATGGGTTTCCCCGATTATGACAAAGGGTCTTCAGCATCCAAATCATCTTGACTCCTCATTAGAAACGCACATTCCTGAGCCAGATCTAGGGCCTCTGAAGGCTAGAGCCCAGGTCTCTGCATTTTAACGAGTCCCTGGGTGATTCTAACAGTCATTATGAGAACTAACTCCCTGGGCTGATCCAGGGTGCTCCATTCCCTGGAATGATTCTTTATTGCTAGTTTGCTAGTTTCACACAACCAGGGCCTGGGCCTCAGCTTTCTCGTTCTCAGACATTTGAGCCACTTCAGTGTCCACGCCCTGCCCTAGCTCACCTGAGATCCCCCTTGCGTCCCTTCAACTGGGCTTCAATCAGGTCTCCACCTCGGGGGCACCAACTTCCTCATTTCTCATGATGCAACTGGATACATGACTCTGGCCTCCAGTTTATTTTCTAAAGGAGGGATCTCATTACTATAAATTTCCTTTCTTTTTGTCTTAGTTGTTTCGGTAAAGAAAAAAAAAAAGAAAACAAAACCCAGGTATTTTCAAATCATAAGAGATTGGAAATCATGTGCTTTTGACCCAACATAAATCTCTTTCTACTTCCTTTTAGACTGGTCCTTAAGCTACAAAAATAGGATTAGTAGACAGCACAGATATTTCTACATGTTTATATAATTAAAGAACTAGAACAAAATGAGCTGTAAAGTGAAAATGTGCACTACTTTATAATGCTGCTATGAGAATTAGATTAGAAAACTAATATATAAAATGATTAGCCCACCTTCCAATACAGAGCAAATGTTCCATACATCCTAGCTGTTATTCTCAGGCCAGGCTGTTCTGGTACCAGCTCAGAGCTGGAAAAACCCTTTAAATTAACTTACTCGAAAACTACTTTTCTCCACACAAGCAAACCAAAGCTCTGAGAGTAAGAGTCTTACCCTCCACTGTAGAGCTACTAGCAGAGCCAAAACAGACACCAATGTTTTCTAAAGCACAATTTCATATTCTTTCCACCACTCCACAACGGCTTTGTGTACACGCCTAAGCCAAATGCAGGACCAAGAAAGCCATAATGTTCAGAATATGCCAATCATCGTGAAGGTCTGAGTTATGCCCAATCAGAATGTGAGGCGTACATGACAGAATGGGTTACCAAGACTGAGTCTGTGGAAGTAATTAAACTATTACATAGCCAGCAGATGGCTTTCCTGGGGTTTTTTTGGAGGGGTGGGGGCATTTATCTCTCATCTTGGGGGATTTCTTTTGTTTCTCTTGTGTTCAATCACTTTACTCCAGAAAGTACGCCCTATTACGCAGTGTTTGGAACCTTGTCTGGTGAGAATTAGCAATGAACATAAAAGCATCGCAAACAGTCTGTGCTGCTGGTAGGTGTAAATTTCTGTTCAGCACAAGGAGGAGGCAGGAAGCAAAGGACAAGCTACTCTCCTCATTTGGAAATATAAAGTTAAAGGGGTTCCATGTCAGAAAGAGAGCAATAGATCACTATAGTGTTTTAACTTTGAATTCCATTTTTTTCTTTCTCTGTCTGGATATATAGAATATGAAACATGAAATACAATAATAAGACAGTAAAAAACTGTCAATGTTTGCTAAACATGAGATTTTACTACAAATAATCTCTTACAGTAAATCATGAGACAATGCTAGGGCTCTTTGCTTGATACCACCTCCAACTCTTAGAGCCACATTGGCATTCTGTCCATGAAACACGAGTATAGCGATGACTTCATTCTCTGGGATGGAGGATAATTGATCATAACCTTCCTATCACTTTCCTTTAACTCAAAGCACTAATGCACTTGAAGGCACAGAGAAATAAAAAGTTCTGTAGGAGAAGAATGGCACTGTGACGCTAACCTCCAAGTTACCTCAAAAAGGTACAAAATACAACCTATTTCAGAATCCCAATTCATGAAACCCTTGTCACACAGCTCAGATGGAGAGCTGCCAAAAGAATTTTGAAGAAAAATTCAAACTTTGAAGGACATAAGGTTTTTCTCCTCCAGCTATTAAAGAAGGAAAAAAGCCCTAATATTAAACAAACCCAATAACTCAAAACGAAGCACTGCTCCAAGGCAGATTATTCACTTACATTAAATCTATTAATTTGATGCTTTTATTACCTCAAAACCACAACATCTCACCAACTTTATCTCTTCACAGACTAATCCCGATTCTCCAGAAATAACATACACAGCTAAATAGAATCCTTGGAAACCGCACTGGACTATATCAAGTTGCTTCTTCCCAACAGTTACTATTCCTATCTCCTATCCCTTTCTCTTTCTCATTCACGGATGATGTTTACCATACTGTGCTCCAGAATGTGAACATCATTTTGACAAGTTGTATTTTGGCCTGGAAATTTTGCCATACTTTTTCAAACGGAAATCAAGGGTAGGAGTGAGGCAAAAATTTTACCACATTTTTCCAAGTCAGGGTCTATATGGAGAGGGAAGGTCATTGGTTGTCATATTAAGTCTTTCTTTTTCCAAAACAAGTCAATAGAAACTCTATCTCCTCCTTTGCTTTGCCTTTCACGTATATACGGTAACGCCCTCAAGGCAAGCCGATCCAAAGAACAAACATCCACCGAAGGCACGAGCGCGCGCACACACGCACACAAATACACACACAGTGGCCAGAGACAAGACCGTATCCAGGAAGCCAGAGCGCCGCACCTTGCAGAGAAACGATCACCCCTGACAACCTTGCCTCACGCAGCACGCCTTGCTCATTTACAGTCAAGATCCGCCCGTACTTTGCTGGTATCCCAGCGGCGACCCACCATCACCCGGGCAGTGCAAACCCGCAACCCCACACCCTCTCACTCTCTCTTCAAGGAACACCCAACGCCCTCCCCAAGCCAGGCCGGCTCCCCGCCCGTCCCGGGTCGCCGCCGCCGCCCCGGGGTCGCTCACCGTGTCTGCAGTCGCAGTAACCCCAGTCTACCTTGCCATAGGCGTTCCCGTAGAAGCACCAGGGTCTGCCCGCGCCGTCCGGGCTCCGGCAGAAGTTGTGGCGTTGCCCTCGCAGGCGAGCCCAGCCCGCCGGGGGCGACCGCTCGAGGAAGGGTGGCACCTCTGCCCAGCGCAGACAAGGGGCGCCGAAGGCCGTCACGTTGACCCAGGGCTCGCCGGCCGGACAGCCCCCGGGAAGCCAGCCCGGCGTGCGCCCGGCTGGGAGGGCATGCGGGCGCGGGGCAGGCAGCGCGGGCGGGGGGCGCAGGACGCGCGCCACAGGGGGCACCGGAGGTGGCCTCTGCTGCCGCTGCTGAGTGGGAAGGTAATAAGGGTGCTGAGGACCCGGAGGGGGCGAGTGGCGGTGGCGGTGGTGGAGGGGATAATTGGGGACCGGATCAAAGCTGACCACTTCGCGGAGCGCCCCTAGAATCAGAGCCACAGCGAGGCGGGCGAGCGTCATGGTGCCCGAGCAGCGGGGTTTGGTCCATGCTCCCCCGCTCCTCGGGTTCTCAAGGGGAGGCGGGGAGGGGGCGGGGGCGGGGCGGCAGCCTCGGTCGGATCCCCCACGCGCGCCCCTCCGCCCCCCGGGCGCAGACCGCCTTCCCCGCCCCACCTCGCCCCCGCCGTGGTTCCCCCGGAGCGCCCCTGCTCGCCACCGCGCGGGCTGTGCAGTGCCGAGCTCCGCGGAGCCCCGATGCGCGGCGGGGACCCTTCCGGGCGGCGGCGGTGGGACCCGAGCCCCAGGTGGCCGGCAGTGGCACGAGCCCGGAAACTCTGCCCCCTGGCTGCGGCCGCGGGGCGCTCAGTGTCGCCCGGAGCCGGACCTCTGCTCGGCCCCTGCCCGGCTCCCGGCTGTCAGCCCGCCCTGCCCGGCCAGACCAGCCGCTGGCACCACTGCGGCCTCGCTGTGCCCGAGCCAAGCCCGAGGGTGCCAGTGCGGGGGATGCTCTTGGCTGTCCCTTGCCAGCGGGCAACAGCAAGAACGCCCCGCGTCTGGCGGCTCCCAGGAAGCCTGGCACCTGTCCCTGCAGCCATCTCTCCTTCACCCCGGTGCCGTGTCTCCTTTTCTCGGTTTTGAAATCTTTAGAAGACAACTGAGGATGGATTTCGTTGTCTCTCTCTCCTGACAAGTCCCAGGATAAAAGTTATCAAAGCCCACAGGGAACGCTGAAGCTGCTTTACTGAACCGTGAGCTCCTCAAGGACAGGCCCACGTTCATTCAGCTTTATATCCCAGGACTTAACACTGCCCAACACTTATTAGGCTGCAATAAACATTTGCTGAAATTAAATTCCTGAACCGACCAGGGAAAGGCGCTTGAGCCCTTCTGCTTCCTGCCTCCTACCTTCCACCCGGTGGCCTGGACAACACCAGTTGTTTGGTTATTACTGGGGCTCAGTGAGGCCCTCTTAATACCAAATTTCCTTTCTAACCAGAGAAGACTTCATCCGTCCGGGCCTCCATCCTATCCGAAAAGCCCGTCCCTCTAACACCTGCCCCATTTTTGCAGGGCCAGGGGCTCGAGTTAAGCCGACTCACTTGCCTCTCCAAAGGGGACTCTGCTGCAGGCAGTTTAGTCTGCGCCGTTGGCCTGACCTTCAGTTTTGCAGCTACACTGTGCTTGACCTTAGGTTAGTCGAGCCCTTTCAACAGCCCCCCCCCCCCCCAAAGAAAGTTGGCTTAGAGTTTAAAAAACCACTGGAGCTGGATGTTTTAGGATTTCCCCTTTCAGTGAGTTGTTCCTGACTACCCACTGGAGTTAAACAAGGAAAAGGCAGGCCATAAAAAGGGTAATCTTTTACTTTCTGGTGCAATCATGTTTCAGTGTGGGGGAGCACTGCTTTCCCGTAATATAACGTATTCTGAAGAAAACCTGAGCATGACTTAAACGTTTACTCTTACAACCAAGGTTTCAATTAGAAAACGAATTAATTCCCTACACCTACCTCAAATAATCGGTCTTGGTTTAACTTTTGTGAATCATCTTACTGGTTTTTTATTTTTGCACTCCTATTAATGAAATATTTGATTTTACTTCAGAGAGAATTGGGTCAATGAGTGACATTAGGAATCCGTGAATGTATTTGTCAAATATTTATTCAAGGTGTTTTTATTCAAATGCTCTTACCCACTATTTTGTTTTCTTACTAGTGCTTTTCTGGCTCCAAAAGCATAGTTAAAACTGTACCTGGGGAAGAGAGTGAAAGATAAAATACATACCTGGGAGAGGTTGATTTACTTATTTAGTAAGGGTCGACAGAATTCATGAATCACAGATTATATTTTTTTAATTGAAGAATAACTGACATACAATATTACATTAGTTTCAGGTGTACCACATAGTGATTTGATATTTTTACACATTATGAAATGATCATCACACTAAGTCTAGTCACTGTCACCATACATTACAATATTATGGACTGTATTCCCTGTGCTGTACATTACATCCCCATGACATTTCTTTTTCTTTTTTGTTTTTTGCTTTTTGGTGAGGAAGTTTGGCCCTGAGCTAACATCTGTTGCCAATCTTCCTTTTTTTTTTTTCTCCCCAAAGCCCCAGTACCTAGTTTCATACCCTAGTTTTGTTTTTCTAGTTCTTCTACGTGGGATACGACAGAATTCCTTCATGAGTGATGCTAGGTCCGTGCCCGGGATCCAAACTGGTTAACCGTGGGCTGCGGAAGGAGAGCGTGCAAACTTAACTGCTACACCACCAGGCCAGCCCCTGACATTTCTTTTATAACTAGAAGTTTTTACCTCTTAATTCCTTTCACCTATTTCCCTCATTCCCTCATCTGGCTCCCCTCTGGCATCTACTAGTTTATTCTCTGTATCTATGAGTTTGCTTCTGTTTTAATCACAGATTCTTGATATAATAGGTGACAATTCTAAGAGGAGTCACCCTTTTCCTTTCCAACTGTCTCTCCACCTTCTGCCACTCACTTGATGGCCCAGGGAAGGCTCAGCCTGGGCCTCTGGCTGGCTTGTGTGGACCCTGCTCCCCTCCCCTAGTAAGCATGGCCCCCGTATCCCCTTGCTTTCACACTTCCTGGGGGTCTGCAGGCAGACCCAGTTCCCACACATTCATGTACCACGAAGAGATGGAAAAATGAGAAGTGAGTGGAAGATAAGATTGTTGGAACTGAGCTCCGAGAGGAGGGAGCCTGGGGCAGGCTGGCCTCTCCTCCAGCCTCTGTACCACCTAAGAAGACTTGAAGATTTTCTGAGGCCTACTTATAGCTGCTAATTACAAAGCTGACACATACAAAGTGGAGTTACCCAGAGAAAATTCCACATCTGGACTTAATCATTTCAGTTTAAAAACACAGCTTTCTTAGAAAATAAAATGGCATTTATGTAATTAGACTGAATTTAGGGGCCTCAATTTGGGTTTTGCCCTCTATTTTATAGGAAAAGTATGATTCAAACATACCTGTTCTTCACATATTACGTCCTCTGCTAATATTGTCCTTCCCTTTCTTCTTTCATTCCTCCTTGGTGGTACCAACAGGCGGATATTTAGGCTTTCCCGGTCCCGATCCGATCCCCAGAATGCATTGTCCCTCCCACCTCCGTCACATCACAGTGTGCGTTGTGGGGGTCCGGGGAAGAGCTGCAGGGGGAAATCCTCTCCTTCTGCATCCATTAGGCACCCACTAGCCACACCTCCCTCTTCAGACTCTCATCACCCTCTATCACAGACACGGAAGCCAGAGAAGAGGCCGAGGCAACTCCACCTTGTTACGACTGCAAGAACCGCACTGCTGATTTTCCAATGCCTTCAGCAGTAACAAAGGAGCAAGGAAAGGGAACAGAAAGAAACACAAGACATCTCTCAGGCACTTCCCACCACAATTCTTAGAAGGCCCCAGGAGACCCCCATAATCCTTCTTGCCACTTCTGCCGCCTCCCATTTACATCATGCAACCTTGTTGATTTGGAGCCCAAGAGCTCAACTCTTCCCCAGCCACACAGCCTAAAACCCAGGCGAGTGAAGGGTGGAATCTCCCTACCCACGTCACAGCAGGGAGGATGGGCAGGCTTGGGGTGGAGTGGGGTCCACACATGCCTGTCTGCTACCTGCACTTTCCCCCGGCAACTGGGTTCTGGATGAACATCTGGTTTTATGGTGGTTTAGGGCGTCATCTTACTTCACATACATGGCGAGCTGAAGAGCTCTTGTGTAGTTTTATTGGGAAATATAACCATATGCGTATTATTTTTACAGAGTTCCAAAAATCAATACATCAAATAACTTTTGGAAAAGTTCCATTTACAGTTTGGGTACTGCCTGTATCTGGAAAAGCTAAGAGCTTTTAAACATATGGCATAAAAGCAGTATTTATTTGTACACTTCCAGGTGCAAAAAAATTGTTAAAAGAACAGTAAGCATTGCTCGTTCACATAAGAGGGGAAAAAAATAAAATAATACGAGGGCTGGTCTAGGGACTATGGGAGATTTGAAATTATAAGACATTATCAGGTCTTTCAAGGGGGGAAATACAATAATACATATAATACATATAATATTTAGTTAAGAGTTCAAGGAAGTTGAAAGAAACTTTTAGTGAAAAGTTCAAGAAAATAGGGGCCAGCCCGGTGGCATAGTGGTTAAGTGCACACACTCTGCTTTGGCAGCCTGGGGTTCACAGGTTCAGATCCTGGGCGCAGACCTAGCTATTGCTCATCAAGCCATGCTGTGGCAGTGTCCCACATACAAAATAGAGGAAGATGGGCACAGATGTTAGCTCAGGGCCAATCTTCCTCACCAAAAGAAAAGAAACAAATTTCAAGAAAATAAAGAAAGATCCATAAAATAAGTGAGGAATTGCTAAATGAATGGTATAGTGATTCAGAGGCTGAGGTTTCCTGTTAGTAGGTCTCTGGCAGTGGAGGTAAAGTTTATACTTCTTCCTGGGATTGGTCACACTTTTCTCTGCCAGCCCTCAGCCATGAAGACGTCTGAGGACCCACAGCAGCAACAGCAGTCCTGTATATCACCATCTGTAACCATATATAAGGGCTGTTGACCTTACATATGGTGTCCAAGAGGAAAGGAAAGTTCTGCTTGACTCATCACGTCCACAATGCTCGCAAGAGTCGTTTGATCTCTACTTGTTCTCATTGTTTAAAGTTGAATTTTATAAAACAAGAATACCTTTTTTTAGTTTCGATTTCTTTTTTAAAAACCATCTAACCTTGGCTTAATACCCATATGGAAATTAATTGCATAGATTCATTTCCAGGGTTACCCAAATTATACATACTAATAGAGGGAGATAGACATGGATATAGATATAGATACCTCCAAAAAAGTGGTTACTTTGGCCTTGGAATCAAACTGGTGCTCAGTCTAGCTCAGGTCCTACTCACTGTGGGATCTTAGGCAAGTTCCCCTTACTTCCCTAAGCCAAAGGCTCGACAGCTGTGAAAAGGGGACAGTCATTGTACTTGCATCATGCATCTCTGTGAGGGGCAATTGAGACAATGCATGTAAACTGTTGAAGACGGTGCTCAAAAAATACCAACGATGGTGTGATAGAATTGTCTCAGTAACTGCCTCTGAATTCTTGACCCTTCAAACTGAGGCACCCTGTGAAAAGCTGCCTCAGCAAAGCAGGACCTTTGTCCAGATTTCCCTTCCTATCCTGCTTCTGCGCCTCAGTCATTTCCCCTCTAAGATGGATGGCAGTCACGAGGCTGCCCCAGCTCTGCTCATTCGAGCACTTGTCCTCTCTGACGTGCTCTCTTTCTCTCAACAAGTGTGGGCCCTGAAAGCCAATGCAATACTATTTAGAGTTAAAACACTTTTCCCGAGCAGTTTGTCTAAGTGTTAATGGTGGTTTTCAAATCCCTCAGTTGCAAGTGGGCTGTGGCCACAGGTGAAAGGAGTAAACAGATTGAAAGAAAGGGGCCTAGAGCTGCTTGCCAGTGGTCTGGGGATCGCAGAGATGTAGTGCTGAAAAGGACGCAGAGCTCCAACTTCCTGTCAGCGCAGGAATCCTTTCCAGAACTTCCTGACAAGTGGACTTCCAGCTATTTCTCAAAAACCATTGCTGAGGGAAATTCCTATTTGGAAGCCAGCACACCCCATCTCTAGAGAGTCCAAATTGTTGGAAAAATCTTCCCTCTCTCTGAGCCAGGAGTTGCCTCCAGGTAGAAACCTACTTTATCTACTGATTCTGGTTCTGTCTCCTATTGTTTTGGTATCAATTTAGAATCCAGCAGACCTGGTTCAAATCCCTGTTAAATTATTTATCAGCTTCTTGGCCTCTGGGGGCACTAAAGACTCCTTTCTCCCAGCTTCTCTCTACCCACCTTCGAGAAAGAGATGTGCTGATTTGGAGGGGACAGATGCAAGAATAGTAATTAGTGCCCATCGCTGGGGTCCCTTATGGTATCATCATGTGAGATATAAATAAGTCTGTATAAGCATAAATGATCAGTGCCCTATTTTCCCTCCTTTTGCTTAGTGTTTTTCCTCACTTCATCATTGGAATCTTAAGAACCAAAGAGCTGAGATTTGGGTATGCATTGAAGCTGAAAGGGAAGGAGAGAAGCCATTTAGCAGTTTGGCCTCAGTGCTAGGAAACCACTTTAGGGTTTGGGATCAAAGCCCCAGGTAATTGTAGAAACCTGCATTTGCCTGGGCTTGTCCTCTACGCATAAATAAATGTCCTGTAGGGAACTCCTCTGGCGGCGATGGGGGGGGGGGGGGAGGCGGGGGGGGGGGTAGTGCTGTAGGTGGGGGCAGAGATAGGACTTAAGAATCCTGGCTCCTGGTCAGCCATCAGTCACCAATAATCTCTGTAAATATAGCTTGCCTGACTGCAACATGGAGATAACAATTCTACTTTACAAAGTTATAAGAATTAGAAATAGTATGTTAAGTGCTGGCCACTGAGCAAACGACTATCATTTAAGTACTTGAAGACAATTATCAGGACTTTTCTGCTTTTTCTAGACTAAATATACTATTACTCCTTCCACCGTTTCTTATTTTCATGCCTTAGGTTGGAACCCCTTCTCTGGTTAAACCCATGTGTGGCAACATCCTCATTAAACTGTAGCTCATAGAATTAAAAACAATACCTCAGGTATTATTTGCCCATTGCAGATTTGAACAGAAAAAAAGTTGCCCTTGTTTCAAACACTACATTATGATTGCATCAACTTTTTCACAGCCACATAACATTGGCTCTTATATAATAAATATAAGGTTACCTAAACTGTTGTTAGTCTGACAAACTTCTCCACATCCTTTAAAGTCCTGTTCAAACTGTGAAATCTTCTCTAACCAAATTCTGCTCTTGCAATATGTGTTGCCTGGCATGCGGTACATACAGAATTTCCACAATCACAATCACATTGTTTCAGATTCGTCTTCGTTATAAACTCCTCAATGGAAAGAACCATGCATTCCACAGTGACTGGCCCTTAAATGGCAGCCAATAGACAATGAAATTCAGCACAAAAAAGAACTACTCGGCATGAAAAGACACGGAGAAATCTTAAATGCATATTACTAAGTGAAGGAAGCCAGTCTGGAAAGGCTACATACTGTATGATTCCAACTATATGACATTCTGGAAAAGGCACAACTATGGAGACCGTAAAAAGGTCAGTGGTTGTAAAGACTTGGGATGAGAGGAAGGGAGGGAGGGATGAATGAGCAGAGCACAGAGGATTTTTAGGGCAGTGAAAATACTCTGTATGATACCATAATGATGGATACATGGCATTATACATTTGTCCAAATCCAGAGAATGTACAATACCAAGAGTGAACTATAATATAAACTATGGACTTTGAGTGATGATGATGTGTCAGTGTAGGTTCATCAGTTGTAACAAATGTACCACTCCAGTGGGGGATGCTGATAATGGAGAGTATGCATGGAGGGGTAGAGGTTATATTGGAAATCTGTGTACCTTCCCCTCAATTTTGCTGTGAATCTAAAACTGCTCTAAAAAAACTAAATATTAGTTTAAAAAATGGCAGCCAATGAAGTCACTGAACAAATGAGAACTTCAAATAAAATGCAAATGAGTTTTTAAAATTTTTTATAATATGCAAATTAATGTCTACAAAAGAGATCACAAACTAGCAATGAGCCAGATGGACCTGCCATCCAGATATATTTTATTTGGTACAGAATCATTTTAAAAATTAAATTTCCTGGGGCCAGCCTCATGACCCAGTGGTTCACACGCTCCACTTTGGCAGCCCAGGGTTTTACCGCTTCAGATCCTGGGCACGGACCTAGCACTGCTCATCAAACCATGCTGAGGTGGCATCCCACATAGCAGAACTAGAAGGACCTGCAAGTAAAATATACAACTATGTACTGGGGGGCTTTGGGGAAAGAAGAAGAAGGAAAAAAAAGATTGGCAACAGATGTTAGCTCAGGGCCAATCTTTAAAGAAAATAAAAGTTGAATTTCATGCTTTATTTAAAAATCAGTAGCTCGTCCATAAAAGTATGGATTACTAGCTTCCTTTGTGTATCTGTTAGAATGCTTTTGGCTATAAGTAAAAGATACTTGAACTCAAATTACCTTAAAATAAAGTATTTTAAAGGATTACATAATCTCATACAATAGGAAGTACTAAGTTCTCCAGAGTTGATTGCTTCAGTGCCTTACTATGCCATTGAGGTCCCAGGCTCTTTATGTCTCTGCTTGGCCACCTTAGTGTTGGCTTCATCTTCAGACTGCCAGCAAATAACAAGACATTATATCTAGATAGAGCCCCTGTTAAGAAGAAGAAAAGAGACTTGTTCTTTCTGTGCCTCCTTTTTAGGAGCAAAGAAATCTTTACCAAAAGTTTCCTAGGGGATTTCCCCTCACACCTTGTTGGCCATTATTGGGTCACATGCCTGTTTGTGAAACATTCGCTGGCAGAGAGAATAGACTTACTATGATTACCTTGGACTAGTTATCCTGAGTGTAATGGGTGCTTGGGCAGAGATCGACCTATGTATACTACACCTTGAAAAACCAAAAGACCTGGTGACATTGCAACCCAAATCCTCACATGGCAACAAGTGTCTATAGCCGTTTTCATCCTTAGACTTAAGGAACAGTCCTCAGTTCACCATGGTCACCACCTGCCTGGACTTTGTAAGCATTTGAGTTTACTACACCTAGTTTATACTTTTTATATCTAGCAGGAATTTCATGCTAAATTATGATGTTTCATGGATATTTCAACCTATGTATTCTGGAGACTAATGGTGAATGGGTAATTGTGTTACTATCTATAGCAAGGTAAAAACATTTTTGTCCTACAAACTTAGTGGCTTAAAACAACAAGCATTTATTATCTCACAGAGTTTCTGAGGGTCAAGAATCTGGGAGTAGCTAAGCTGGATGGTTCTGGCTCAAGGTCTCTCATGAGGGTGCAGTCAAGATGTCCATGGAACTGCAGTCATCTGAAGGCTTGACTGGGCCAGAGGATCTGCTTCCAAGCTCACTCGAGGAGCTGTTGGCTGAGGCCTCAGTTCCTCACCACACTGACTTCTTCACTCACAACACGGCACTGGCTTCCCCCAGTGCCAATGATCCAAGAGAGCAAGAGAGTGACCAAGACAGAAGCCACAAAGACTTTTATAACCTAATCTCAGAAATGACATACCATCACTTCTGCCATACTCTGTTGCTCACAAAGTAAACTAACCCTGGTACAGTGCAAGAGGGGACTACACAAAGGTGTGGATTTCAGGAGGTAGGGATCATTGGGGCCATCTTTGAGGCTGGCTACCATAGTTATGTTCCATAAAATTGCTCTGTAACAGAGAAGTGAAACAGATACTTACTTGTAGTGTGGCTGTATGTATTTTCCAAATGCCAAACATCTTGAGAGTTCATTGTCAATTAAACAATCACTTTACATGAAACATAGCATCAGCTGTAAGCAAAAGTGTCTTAATTTCGCCACAACTGCATCTCCCACTTCACATTATGAGCAGACTCAGTCTTGTTCTTTGACTGGTTGCGAGAAAACAAGATTTAATCAATGAATTCAGGTATCCAGACACTTAGTAAAATACTCCCAAGTGTACCAGGGCCTGATAAGACTTAATGTATCAACCAGTGTGGAGTTATTAACATTTTAACAAGAACAAAGAATGCATGGAATGGACAAAGGGACTATGAGATTTCAGGCATTTCCCTGAACTGAGTCTTGGGGGAGCAGAGATTTGAATAAGGAAGATGCCTCCTGAAACTAACTGTATCGTTTGTAAGACTGTCTATCTTAGAATATTGCCAGAGACAAAGAAACATAAAGCAAAACAAAAATAGCCATGGTTTAATTTGATGAGAAGATTACAAACCTTTTCAGTTAAATAGTATTCACTATCTGTAAAACAAACAACTCTTGCCATTTTGTAATGCAACAGAGTTTCTTGTCCAAAAAATTAAGCTACACACATTATTGTGGCTTTCCTACACACCCTCACCTGAACAAAAAAACCCAAAGCATCAAAGAGTTTATATTTATGCATAATACTCCTATAACAACAAGAAACAAAATTAGCTGGTAGAGCTGAAATCAGAAAGAATTTCTTTACCCCCTCCTTCCATAAAACAGTTACATTGTGAAGGACATATGTCCTCATTTTGGTACTGAAAGATAGATACAGTTTTGAAACAGAGACTCATTGGCAGTATTTATAGCTGAGTTGTGTAATAAAACAAACTCAGGGCATTAAAAATATGACGTTACTCTAGACTAGTCTTTATTTTTAGAAGGCTTAGAAACCTCTACCCAGTGTGAAAAGGCTGTACATATGACTGAATGTCCTTTGCTATCAAGTGGTCATTAGAAACATGAAATACGGTCAGTCGGTCAACAAGAAAAACAATACTTGGCACATAGCATCAGTTATGTCGGAGCTCACAGCTGAGTCTAAGCAAAGGAAACTTTATGGAAGATGCTGGGTTCCATCTAGGACCCTAAAATAAGCCGTATTAACCAGTAAGGTTTTGTTCTGTGAACGAACGGCTGTTAATGCAATACATATGTGTTGTGGAATGCTGGTGTTCAGAAATAGTTTAAGTAAGTTATTTCAAAGAAATCAACAATAACTTTGAATGACATTAACCTTTGGAAATTAACCAGCTCAAACAGGGCATGTAATGATTAAAGCAGAAGGAAGAAACCTGTTAAGAAATAGATCTCTTAAAGTGAAGAGTTTAAAATGTTTAAACACTGAAAGTCAACACAAAAACCTAAACAATAACATCAGTTTTAAGAAGATAAACAATGCCACAATTTTCAGTTTTGATTATGATACATAATACTCTTTGAAAGCTATGATTTCGTATTTTATAATTTTCTATATTCTTTTATTTTCAAAATATGTTTGACAAAGAAGCAGAAAGAGCACGACTAGCAAAAATACCTTTAAGTGCACCCATTTAGTAGCATCCAATCAATCACTTAAAGATACACCAACTTTTTCATAATGAAGGAGAATTTTTTTCAAGTGGTTCGATGGATTTGTGCTGGCTGCAAGCTCTCGAGTGAGGTACTGGATCTCATTCACTTCCGGATCCTCATTATTTAGTGCAAGCTTCCTGATAAATATTGTCCAGATTCAATCTCCAGTCTCTTACCTAGTTCTCTTGATGGTCAGTGGCTTACCTTTTTGAGATAGCTGGCTTGAGTTAAATGCACAGAACGCAGTGGAATGCAGAGGATTTTTCTCCTGCAGATTTAATGGAATTTTATGGGAAATGTTAATAAAAACAAAGAAAACTAACTTTATTTAGAATATTTTGTTTTGCTACAAATAACGCATTTTCTCGTTACATTTTCTTTTTAAGTCTCTCAGAAAATGATTGTATTAACAATTTTAGAGGGCTTGTAACCTACACAATTTGCAAGCGTCTGGAGATGAATTTGGAGCAACACCAACAATTTTTTAAAAAGTGCTTTTGGTGGTCAGAGTAAGTTACACAAATGCAAAGTCAATCAGAGAACTCATACAACCACACTATATTTCTCTTGCAAATACAGGAGACTGCTGAGATTTCACTGTTTTTTATCTAGCTTCACTGGCCTACAGGGCTCATGGAGTTGCAGGATATTAAACAATCTTACAAACAATTCTGAATGCAAAATAAACAATTGTATTTAAATCAGCAAAATGAACATATGCCATGTTCAGGAAAAACAAATAAGTGGATCTGATATTTTGGGAAGTTATGAAGTTGAAAAAAGAGATGTTATTAACAAAACTGCTATATTTAAAAGAGAAGAGATGATATTAAACAATGCTAGTATATTTCAAAGAGAAACTCTCATTCTCTACATTTGATTAATCATAAACCTAGGTAACTTCAAAGGGGTTGAAAATTTTTTGACTGCTTGCTTTTTATTTGCAAGTAATAGAGCCAAGTTGTTTTCTCTTTTTGTATCCCTCACTAATATCTACCATGGTTCATTCCAAACTGAGGGATGTTGTAAATGCCAAATCAGACTTCAGATGAACTAGTAAGGAGAAAACCATAAAGAATTATAAACAATAAAATATATTTACTAGATTTAAAAATGCATCCTTCTTCCTTCAGATGTGTCTGCCTGTTGAACCCTAGCTCATATTCAAAGCTTGCTTTAGCAGCATAAAATTTATAGTCAGGTGAAGAGTCAAAGCAACTGTCTCAAGAGTGCAGGTTAAATAACTAGAGCTGACACTAACTGAACGCTTATTATGGTCAAGTTCCTGCAAAAACCACATGACCAATCGTTCATTTAACACATATTCATTAATCCTCCCCAAATTCTATAATATAGGCATCCTTATCTCCTTGGAAAAAAAGCAAAGAAAACTGAGGCTTAGGGAGTTGAATCAACTTGCCTAAATCTATACAGGTGATTAGGATGAAGACGCAATCCCTAGACAGGCCTTTAACCACATTCTACAACAGAAAATGTTTTCTTTTCAACTGAATTATCCTAATTGTTATCTTCTACTATAAATTTCAGTGCAGATATGCAATTCAAAGGCAAAGACATTGCCATTTGTCAAAGGCGAAGACGAAGATCTTAGCCAGCTCCATTAACTCATAAAGCTATACCAAACTGAAGGCCAGAATCAGGTTTTAGTGAATTGCAGCCATGCAGCCATACAATTCAGAAATGTAGATTTGAAGGACATGAATTTTGTTCTGGTATCTGAGTTTACCAGGTAGGTTTTCAGACTTGAGCACCAGCTGAAATATACACATCTGGCCTATTGAAAAGCTGGAAAACTAAACAGAATGAAAGACCACCACTTGCCACTCAGCTGAACACCTGGCTATGAGTTTATCACATAGGAGAGTTTTAATGGCATAATTTGGCAATTGCCAACACAGGCTCTGGGCTCAGATAGCTTGGGTTCAAATCCATCTCAGCAGCTTACTACCAATTTAGGTTACATAATTCCTCTAAGCCTTCTAAAATTGTTATGAGAATTAAGTAGATAATTTTTGTAAAGCACTTACTTGGGACTCGGCTCTTTTTTTTTGAGAGAGAGAGAGGGATCAAAAGAGTATTAATTAAAGAGCAAGTGAGAAGTATTTAGTTCATAAACTTTTATTGAAAATAATAAAAATAGTTATTTGAAAACTACTAGCCATTAACAGAGATATTTTGTATTTATTATGCTGAATTACATTATGTGATGCAATTGTTAAGGGTTAAGCTGTTGTCTGTATTCAAACACTGACCCTGCTCCTTACCACATGGATGATGTCAGGCAGGATGCTGACTTCTTTCAGCTCAGTTTACTCATGCATAAAATGAGCAATACCTAATACCTGCCTCAGGGGTAATCGTTGTTTGATGATTAAATAAAATAACACAATAACAGCATAGTTCCTGGCATACAGTGAGTTCTGGGTAATGATGGCTGTTAATATCATTATTAAAATTATTATTACTGAAGTACAAGTACAAAACAGAAACTCCAAAGCTCAGGTGAGGAGAGGCGAAAAGAACCCCGGCTTTTCTCTACTACTTTCAACTGGACTTGGCTGCAGACTAGGCCACTAGACTGTCGTCTGAGAAAGAGGGAGGACAGGTAAAGGTTTTGGACATGGTTCAAGTAAAGCCACAGGTTCAGTCACAGGCAGACTCAGCCGGCCCAGGAGCTGGGGAAACACTAGGCTCTCTGGTCTCAAGTGGTTGACACTTAAAAGCAAGCATAACAGTCTTCTGCCAATGGAAAATACTGATCCATAAATATAAATGTGACCTGCAAGAGCTCCCACAATTGAGTGCTTATTTTGCTGGTAAGAAAGGAAAAGCAAAGATGGTTTGTTTCTGAAATTTTTAAGGTGCCCAGCATAGGCTTCTGTGTGAATTCCTGAATAATAATAGGCCAAAGGAATTAGAGGAAATTCCCTTTCCTCAACCTTAGATGGATAATGCTTCCAAGGCTTTGATGCAGGATATAGATACTGCAAATTATTTTATTCTCCCTCCTTTCCCCAGGCCTCCTCCATCACAAACACTCTTTGAAGGGTAACCTGTATCCTTGGCAAGTTTCTAACAGTTACCTTTTCCATTGGAAAAAGGGGGTGTTACAATTAAGGTGACCACGCATAAGCTGAATTTACTAAATTTTTCTTAACGTTAGTAAATGAAATTATTCTTTGTGTTGTCCCTGCTACATTTAAATAAGGGTATATTATATTGTCTGGTGTACTGCACATGCATGGTCAGCCTATGGACATGATGTCAAATTGCCCTCAGCCATTTAACAGCTCTGACGTTCACTAGTTCCTCTAGTTGCATCTGTGGGTAACGATGCCACCTCATAGGGATGCTGTGCAGGGATACGAAAAACGCTGTGTTGGCTACTTCATGCCACTCAACGGATGGTATGTTTTTTGTTCCATTTTTTTCCCCCTCAATGTTTGTTCAATATTAGTAGAGGGCTAACAGTTTTTTCCCTACTAAAGTGTGTGTCAAGGAGCAGTTTCACAATCCAGACTGGAGCAGAACTGGTCAGAAGTTGTTATAGACTCTTGAGAACATGCTAACCTTTAAAAAAAAACCTCACCCAGTGTGCATTTGGGGCCCTGAAGTCCAGTAAATAATGTGTACTTAATTAAAATCTCAGCTTCTTTGGGAAAGAAGTGAACTTTCTTTGCCTTTTAAATTGGTAGACAAAGCAATTTAGACCAAACTGAAGTGTTGTTAAGCCTTTGAAACATAAAACAAATGAAATATTACCTCTAAGGTCTAAATTATGCACTGATACGTTTTTGGGTTCTCATATAGGAGTTTTAACTTTTTTTACTTTATTAAAAATATCAAACACTTAGCCCAGTGAATTTTACCTATGTAGCTTTTTCTTTTCCTTTTTTAATGAAGATATCTGCGGTAATCACCTCCATTTTCCTCTAGATTTCAAATAGTAACTGTGGCAACAACAGCATTATAATTTGGGTTGATCGCTGGGCTTCCTTACCTGCTGCCAGCAGCAGCACCAGGGGCTCTGCCTTTTTTCTGGGGCACGTTTCTAAACTGCAGCTTGCTGATGTTGGCTGTCAGCCAGGTTTTAGCTCTTGTCTTTACTATTATTGGGGCTCTATGCCCCAGACATGCCCTCTTTTCTCCACATATGCATAGAACAATGCTGATTTAAGGGATTCTGGCTTTTCCTGAATCTTCTCCAGATCACAGTTGTCCCTACTTCAGTCTTCCCTTTAAATTCTCTTTGCAATCGAATGAAAATGTTTTTGTGTGGCCTACCCTGCTGACTTTGTCTTAGACTGTTTGTCCTTTGTTTACTTTCTTTGGCCACAGTGTGTTTATATTGCTGTTGTTGCTGTTGGTTTTGCCCCCCAAGTGTTTCAAGTTCACTGCCATTCCAGGCCTCTTGCACTTGCTGCTCTCTTCTAAGAATGCCCCTCCTCTGGGTCTTCACAGGACTAGCTCAACTCTTAGACCTCAATCAAATATCACCCCCCCAAATATGTCTCTCCATTCCCTACCTAAAACACTTACCACCAAATCTCCCCCCTACATCACTGTCTATACCTTAAGATGTTTCTCTTTCCTTCACAGTAGCTACCACTATCTGAAATGATCTTGGTCTTTGACTGTGTTTCTTCTCTGACTCCACACTACAGAAGGTAAGCTCCACTAGAGCAGGGATCTTGTCATTTTTGCTCTTCACAGGATCCCTGGTTTTTGGCACATTGCCCATAGATGGGTCACAAGTATTTCCTGAAAGAAGAAACGAATAAATGAATGACTGTCTTCATCCTCTTCTCCACCTATCTAAATCTTACCAATTAATCAAGGTCCATTTTTTCCCCCATAAATATCATTCCGGAGAACTCTAGCACACAATGTTGATTAAAAACTACTAGACTACCTGTTAGAATGTTTCACCACTTTGCCCTAAGTTTCAATTGGTAGGCAACTCTGACCCAAATGATTGCCGTTGACATAGGCTGAAACCAATCAATTGTGATCCAATCTGTTCTCAGACTGTTCAGTGAGTATGTACTCCCTGAAAGCCTTAGCCCAAAAACTTAGCTCAGGACTCTCAAGAGTGCCACCAGCCTATTCCAGACAACAAATCTTAGGAAAGGGAGCAGTACAATCCCTGACTTTTCACACCAGCCTGCTCAAGACAATGAGGAACTCCATCCAGGCCCATCCTAGCCCTGGCTATTAATAGGTGTCAAACCAAGGTCAGCCCGATGTAAAACAGATAAGTTTCACAAAGACCCTATCCTTCTTGCTTCTCCATATTCTTCACTCTGGGTACCCTCTGCCCTCTCCAGTAGTGTGCCTCCAGAATCGGATTCCAGGGCCTACTTTCCCAGGACTGCTGCTTTCTGGTGCTTCGTACCCAGAGGGTGGCCTCTGGAGTACCAGCATTCCTCTCCCTGAATTCCCTCGTTGCAAACACTTTCTTATGGACAATATCAGGCTCTTAGTGTTTGCAAGTGGTTAATTTGATAAATTCCTTTGTGCTAGAACTAAAAGAACCCTCGGGGCCTCTACAACATCTCCAACAGTCTTAATTGTAGCTTTTTAAGATAACCATCCACTTTGGTGTGTTACCCAAAGGAATGAGAGAAGAGGTTAAAATTCTGGACCAGGTAGGAGTGAATAACAGGTTGAGACAGATGCTTTTGATGAGTAGCTGGTTGAGCAGCTGACATTCTTCTGGGTTTGCGGCCAATGACTTTCCCTCCCAGCTCTCCAGAGCTTAGTAAAGAATCGACTTGAGCATGTTCTTTGGGGAAAAATTAAGTTACCACTTGATGCTTTTGATTTTCTGTGGTGGATTTCTAGACATCTACGTCCACAATTGTTCTCCCTTCATGTTTTCAGCCATTTTTTCCACTGAATGCTCTCTTTGTCTCTTCCCACACCCATTTCAGTGATATTTTTTCTAAACAGCTTATTCAGCCCAAAATTGTCTTGCCCCGCTACCCCCCATTTCTATTTCCCTTCTTCAAGTCCATGCTCTATCACTTTTAGAAATTCCTTTTTTGAAATCTGCTACTTGTATAATGGACATACCAACTCTGAAATTTTCCCCTCTGGAATGGAATAAAGGGAAAAACAGGAGGAATAAAGATGAAAGAAGGAATAGATCTGTTTCTCATCTTCCTCTGTGGGTCGAAGGGGAAGACAGAAACCAGGCCTTCCCGCTCTATGAAAAACCTACTAACCTTGGAGGTTTTCCCATCTCCTTTGATGGACTGGAGCCTTAATTATCTGTCTAAAGTCATTAGGCTGTTAAAGAAATACTTTGCCTTTTATTTATGCTCTACTCTATTAATACTATCATTACTAATATTAATCATAATAAAGAAAACAATGAAATTACCTATATTCTTTGTTATTTTCCCTTCTCTAATCTCTAATCTGGTCACAATTTTTTGCTATCATCAAAATAGGGTAGTGTAAAATATCAACATATTAAAAGATTAAGAAAACTACTGCATCCTTTAGTTAGGCATTTCCTATGAAAATTATTTATTACAATATAACTTTTCATACAAACAAAATGAACTTGTAATTTCAGCTTTTTGAGTGAAACATAACCACTTGGAGGTTTAAATTATGAAATATTTACGGTGTGATTGTGAGATTTTTATCTCAACTTTTCTAGAAAGCATGAAAAAATGCAGCTGCATTTTTACCACAGTGACATTACAATCACTGGGTCTGTTGAAATTACAGTCAAGAAGAAGCCTTTTGTCTCTGTCTATAAATTAGCTCTGTAGAATGGCAGAGTATTTCTTCAAGCTATTGAGGATGGCTTGTTGCTAAAGAGATTTAGGTTACTATCTAGAGAGGTTTAGTTAGTGTGATAATGAGGGCACAAGGGAAATTTTCAAAAAACAGTTGGGTTTTAAATAGACAATGTGACCTTAGCTGGGAAGAGGCACAGACTGCAAATATCAAAAGACAAGAGCTAGCGCTGTGCTCTAACAGCACAGTGGGACGAGTAGTAGGGAAGGAATAATGGACATAAATGTGAACTAATTCAACCTACAGCGCCAAAACAGGACTCAAATCTCTCTGTTTAGGAAAAGTGTCAAACAAAAAGAGAGGGAATTGCTTAGTTTTTAGAAAAATACTGACTATAAACACATACATAAATTCTAGTGGAGAAATCACACCAACATTATTCTGACTCGTGGCCTAAAAGTCCGCTTTTTGTTTGTGCCATTAGGATAATAACAGTCCCCATGGCATGATTAATTACTGGTCACAACAAATGAATTTAATATATGTTATCTCATTTAATCAACCCAGCCACCCTTGCAAGACTGACATCTTACATGTGGATACTGAGCTTTGGCGATGTTAGCAACGTGCTGCACTTTACGAGGTGGAACCAGGACTCAAACAGAGGCCTGGCCAAATGCCCAAGCACTTGCACTTCGCGTTGCCCTGTGCTGCTTGCCCCGGTGCAGGCAGCCTGCAGTGAGAACCACACAAGATTTCTTCTTGCAAACAGATGTGTACAGTACTCCGTGAGATCACCAGTGAAAAACTAGACCACAGCAAAAGTACAAGAACACTGATGCTTAAAAAAGCCTAAAGAAAGCCAATGGATTTCAGAGTCTGAGCTTTGTCTGGTTTCTTTGATTGGTGATGAAATATAGTTGAACTTGTGAGCCTCTCAGAAAAACAGAGACATTTGTGGGAGAAAATATGCAAAACATGATAATCCTTTGGACTGTTATAAAATATAGCCATCACTTTCAGACAGCAGCAACATTAGTCATGACTTATACATTCTTTACAAATATATCACTGAGTCCATTTCAAGTTCCAAAATGTGTTACACAGCACAGAAATAGAGTAACAGTTGTTATAACCAAATTAAGGGCTCCCCTCAGATATCTTTTATTGACAGTATATTGGTACACAGGCACATTAAAGCCTTTGAATAAAGAGCTGCATTCTCAACTTAAGAAGATTTGGTGGGAAATAACTTCTGAAATTAATATTTCAATTTCAATTAGTCAGTTCAAATTGATGTCAAACAAGTGACTTTCTATTTACTGAATATTTTTATAGATATTTTAGTTCTTGCCTAATACCTTGTTTGTACTCTCTTCTAGAATTTATCACATTCCAGCAATTATTTGCTTACATCTCTCTCCCTCACTAGACTGTGAGCCACTGGGGTGTAGGGACTGTGTGTGATCCCTCTTTGTATACCCACAGCCTTGACGATGCCTAATAATAAGCAGACACTTAAATTTTTGCTTTTTAAGACACATACATAGAACAGTTTCTCAACTTCTGCACTATTGACATTTTGGGCCAGATAATTCTTAACTATTGGGAGCAGGGGCTGTGCTCTACATGGTAGGATATATAACAGCATCCCTGCCATCTAGTCACTAGATGACAGTAGGCCCCACCCACCTACCCAAAAAATATCCAGACATTACCAAATGTCCCCTGGTGGGCCAAAATCACCCCTGGGTGAAAACCATGAACACAGAAGAATGCACACACATGCATAGATAAAAACATGATGCTTTTAATTGACTAAATTTTTTTCCAAATTTCTTTGAATAGGTAATAAGTGCACAGAGTACAAAAATCAAAAGTACAAAAGGATATACAGGGAAAGGTATATCTCTCTTCCTCTCCCATCTCCCAAGCAGTTTCTTGTTCTGAGATGTTCAACATGGATGCCACTAGCTCCATGTGACTATTGTGCACTTGAGAAATGGCTTGTTTTAACTGAGATGTGCTAAGGATAAAATACAATGGATTTTGAAGACTTAATATGAAAAAAAAAGAGTGTAAAATATATCCTTAATAATTGTTTTACATTTACATGTAAGAATGAAAATATTTTATATATATTGGGTACAATAAAATATACAATTAAAATTAATTTCACCTTTTAAAGAAGTCATTTTACTATGGCTACCAGAAAATTTAAAATTATGTATGTGACTTACATTATATTTCTATTGTAAAGCACTTCTAAAGAAATTTCCTGTGGGGATTTAAACATATAAATATGTGTTTATAATGCTGCTAAACTTGACATTCTATAGACACAGTTTTATTTTATACTTAGCAGAAACATAGCATATGGTACTTAGTAGATACTTAAAAGAGGTTCATTGATTGAGTCAATAAATAATTGAAGGATTAAAAGTCTACATATATAAACATATACATACATATCTATTCATATACATATATAGTGCTTTTTACATAGAACTTTCATATACTTCATTTTATTTGAGTCTCATAACCTTGAAATATAAATATTTTATGACTCTCATTTATCTCATCTGTAAACTGGATATAATACCAATATTCTTGTGAAAATTAAATGTATTTATATAAGTAAAGAACTTAAAACAGTTCCTATCAGATTACAAGAACCATATATTATCCTTCTCTTCTTTGTTATCTTTATTGTTTTTGTTGTTACTATTTTTTTAAAGATGAGGAAACCAAATCTCAGAGAGGATAATGCCTCTAGGTTACACACCTACTAACATAGCTGATCAAAATTGGAACCTTCTGCTTTGACTTAGAAATTCATGTACTTATCTCCATCTTATGCTGCCTCATATTCATTTAAAAATAGGAAAAAGGAAACATAGTGCCTAGATCTTGTTCTTATTATATTTATTTATTTATTGTAACATTGGCTTATAACATTATATAAATTTTGGGTGTACATCATTATATATCAGTCTCTTTGTAGATTA